TCAGTCAGATCTGATATTGAGAAAATGCATCCCATTTTCAATAAACCCAATTTAGCTAAAAGGCTGGAACAAACATTTTGGCGTTTTGGTTTCACCCTTTCAATTATATTTTTGCTTTTTTGTTTTTCGTCGATTTTAGACATCTATTGACATGGCCATCCGAAGCAACAACCAATGGAAAGAGAATGCATTCGTCATGAACTTCGGCAACACCGGGTGCTCTGCAATGCGTGACCAGCTCCCGGACTTCTACCGCATATTTGTGGAACACGGCGGCGCGCCAGCAGACAAGAAAGAACCGTGTGTTATACGAAGGGTACGATGGGCGTTAAGATTCAGGTCGATCCTAGATGAAGCATGTGGTTCTGTCAAAGAATACCCTACAACGAAAGTTGAAAGGCGAGGCTCATAGCCCAAGGTTGAGCGAGGCAAAAATGTCTCAATATTCGGGGCTGTTCATAAAATATACCACGCGTTGTAGGGGGTGGGGGCCTCGCAAGGTGTGAAGTTGTGACGCCGAGGGGGAAAAGGGGGGGGGGGATTGTGTCGATTTTTACAAAAATACGATTTTAAGAAATCGTAGGAGTCACGAAGTCAATTTGGTTCTTGTGTAGGAGTTTGGAGAAAGAAAAAAAGTTGTGTAGAAGGGATAGGGAGTGGGCTCAGGGGTGGCTGGTGGTAACCAATGGCACCAATGTGGTACCAATGTGATCAATCTGCCACTCGTCAAAATTCAAACTTGAAAATAAATAGAAATCAAAATGCCGGGAAATTCGAAAAATTGGCCCCATATATAAATTTCCACTCTAATAAAATTAAATATACACAACTATATGTTGATTCTATTAAAAATGTTAGGGCTTTTCCAATAATGTCAGCTTGTAGCCTTACAATAGAATGTAACTCTCGAGTCAAACAAAAGACAATTTACCAAAATAAGAAGGCCTGCTACTTTCAACATATGCTATTTATGCATCTATTTGATTTCCTCCACTATATGAAAGTTAATAAAGAGAATGACCCTAGAGAAAATAAAATAAGAAGATTAAAACAATTTAAAAGGTCAAAATAAAAACATCCTTTTCACAATGCTCAGTCATAGTGTGTACTGACCTAAAGGAGATTCCCTCAGAGGGGGGAGAGGGGAACGAAACATGTAAATTATTGTCAATTCCATTCTTCTTCGCTGTGTTCATACTCCAAATGGGTTTCAATCATTCTAGAATGTTGAAAAACTAAGGCCGATTTTATTTTCAAACCGTTCTGCTCTTTTTTTTGTTTTATTTGCTGATTTGCTTGTGTCCCTTATTTGAGAGCCGCGGCCGCAGGTATGAGAAATTGGTAACTGCTGCCAACCTTACCATGCTAATAAACTGATTCAAAAAGATGTTTTGAATATTTCAAACGAGACTAAACAACGATTTGAAACAAACTTGTGTTGGGGGAACTAATTTTCTCGGGGCTTAAACAAATTTTCTTCGGAGCATTACACTGAAAACACTGCGAACCTGTCTACTAAGTACACACTTACAAATGCATGCTTGGTCAAGTACACACTTACGCATGGAGTTATACGGCGTCAAGCATGCGTTTGTAAGTGTGTACTTGCAAGCATACATTTGTAAGTGTGTACTTAGTAGACAGTTAGGTTTGTAGTGTTAAGTCAAAGGACGGAATTCATTCCATCCTAGGGGAAAGAAACAAAGTCTCGCCATTCTGTGGCGAGAAACAAAAGTCTCGCCATCCAAAATATGGGAATAATTGCAACCCCACTCTATTGGATGCAGGGAAATATATCCCAGTCAATTATTGCCATATTTTGGCGAGACATTTGTTTCTCGCCAAAAAAATGGTGAGACTTTTGTCTCACCAAATTTTGGCTATCAGTCTCGCCATTCAATTTTTAGTGTCCTTGGGTCCTGATGGGAGGTAAAATGCAAGCCTCTTCTCAGACATGTTTAAGTGGGCTTCGCCGAAGCATTCTTTAGTCTGAAATGGCCCAAGATGGGACCATGTCCTTAGAGCTTAATTTCACTTCAATTTCCTGCAGGCCTCTCAAGATATTATAAAAACTGAGACAAACAAGGAGGTGGTCACTTTTCCCCCATACTTTGACTGGTTGCAAACCGTTTTTTTTTTTTTTTCGAGTCTTCCTGATAGTGAAGCAAGCATTTTTGTTCAAAATTCCGAAATTTTTTGGACAAAGCCCAGCGTTTGCTTTTATTGAGCGAGCTCCATGCAGATGTTTCGGAAAAACTCCATGATTTCTACATTTTTTTCCCGGAATGGGCAGTGCGGTGCAAGTTCTTGCGTCTTAATCGAACTATTCCCCTCGATTCGCCGCATCCCGGGACGTTAAATGTGATGTCCGGGTCTTTGGGTGTCGAAGGGGGGGAAAAACTAGGATTAAGGGTTCAGTGAATACTGGGCTTCGTCTTCTGTGAACACCGGTGACGCATCATCGGACACTTTACTTTCAGTGTATCATGTTTTTGTTGTCAGGGACAATATATTTTGCGCAATAGATCGATCGACTGGGCATTTCCCAACTTCAAAACGATGCCCTATGGGCGGTACCGGTTTCGGATTCAAAGTCGACAAGACAAACGCACCAACCCTGTTGTTTTCTGCCTAAATGTCGACTGCGAAATCATCCCTAAACCCTAAAGACTGACAGGAAGGCGCTGATGCACCAGTACAGGTCCTCTAGCGAGTCAAGTCCATGCGGGCGGGCTGTCCATGCCGTTGTCGTAAAGAATTTTGCGTGCAATAAAGCAGAGCCGTGATGGATCAAGATGGAAGTGTCCTTAATTTGTCCCCCCCCCCATTATCTTGCAGAGAGGAATCACTCAAAAATAAGAAGGCAGGAGGTTCGGGCCAGACAATTACTTGTCGCAACAGCCTTCGCGTTGCGCGCCGGTTTCGACTGTCCGGTCCGTCCATGCCTGACAATGGATTCATCAACTTTCTATCATGCCGCAAAAACCACTCAATTAGACTTTTCCGGGCTTAGCTTCTTGTTCAGTACTCAAGTCGTTGCCCCGCCACACTTCAAGACCCAGCTTATTCACTGAAAATCTACCGGCGTGACTTCGCGCCGCTGCAGGGGCGTGAATAAAGTGTCACGCCAAAAAACGGCATGACAGAAAAGTCACGCCAAAAATCGGCGTGACTCAAAAATTCACGCCAATTTTTGGTGTGAATTTCTTGTTATGCCGTTTTTTGGCATGACTTGTCTCTTAAAACGCGTTGTCATTCACGCCAAATGAAGGCGTGACTCACATGTCACGCCGTCTATCGGCGTAAATTTCGTGTCACGCCAATTTTTGGCGTGACTTTTTGTTACGCCATAATTTGGCCATGTGTCCGACCATTACGTTTTCAGTGTTTGCAACGAAATGGAATAAACCTCAGTATTGCGGATACTTCAGTAGCACCAAGTTCAATTCCGTTCAACCAGAAATCAGCTGGATGCGCAAAGAGTAGGGCATATTGCACAAATTTGCTTATCCCGGAAAGGTCTGTTTCTTAAAAAGTGAAAAGATCGACACTTGGTCAGTAACTTTTATCACACCGAAAACAATACCCGTTCTCCTCACCACTCTTAATTTCTTTTACTGCAGGAGGTAAAGAACGAGTATAGAAAGTGCCAGACCGAAAACAATGGGTGCATCCAGTGCTCGGCCTTAGCCGGGAAACCACCGCGACCCCAGGCGACCCCAGCCACCTCGCCGCGACCCCACAAACTTTTTTCGTCACCCCAAGGTTGATAACCATTGGGATAACCCCTGAAACATGTTGACCCAACTGGAGCTCACGTCGATGTCCTAGCCGATATCTTCCAAAGAGGTCTGCCATTCGTAATGAAGCGCCGAAGGTACACTCTAAATGTCTTACGAAGAAATTTCCCATAATAGGAAGGAAATGGCGCAAGCATAATACGAAGGTGGTTTTTCTTCGTATTACGAAGGTTTTTCCTTGTATCTTACAATGAAAAAGCTAGAAAGATTCGTATTACGAAGGAATATAGCTTCGTATTATGCTAGCGCCGAATTCACCGTGACATACGTATTACATTGGTCAAATTTCATTGTAAGACATTTAGAGTGTAGTGCTGAAGTCCGGAACTTGTGCAAAGGTGACCCAGGGTCTCAGTCCCTTCCTCACCAAACGCTCGGAGCGAAATTTTCCCTTCGGTGGCCTCCCACCCGTCAGAGTGACCCCGCCGCCTCACACGCGCTCTTATCTGAGTAATGAAGTTGAATGGCACACGCAGCCCCACCGGCGCATCGACCTTTCTGCACGTATTGCTTTCAGTCCATGCGTCCACACCGCAACCAGCTGACCTACAACCAGCCCACAGCTGCATGAGTAACAAGTTAGTTGTGAGGTATGGTAAGCATCATACATTGTGTTCAAAAACACGCACTCTTAAAAGCCTACAAAGTATTTGCTTCATAACTACCATGAAAATGAAGGCATTGTAGAATTGCTTCGTATTATGAAGAAATGCTTCGTATTACGAACGATTTTGCTTCATAATACGAAGCACTTCTTCGTAGATTTTACAATGCCTTCATTTTCTTCGTATTACGAAGCGATTCTTCGTAGAGTTTTTACTGTGCGGATTCTGTTCGTGGACCAATACAATAATAGGCGCACAAAAACCCAACGAAGAACCGCTTCGTAGTACGAAGAAAATGAAGGCATTGTAAAAGCTACTGCAGAAGAGCGTTTTCTGAACGTATTGCACGTAAGGTGCAATGTGGATATGGCACGTGTGATGCAATGATGCAATGTCTCAATGCATTGCACCACATAGGCTATGTTCATATCGTCCGTAGTTTTGTTTTTTTCACTGAAAATCTATCGGCTTGACTTCGTGCCGCTGCAGGGGCGTGAATTAAGTGTCGCGCCATTAAACGGCATGACAGAAAAGTCACGCCAAAAATCGGCGTGACTCAAAAATTCACGCCAATTTTTCGCGTGAATTTCTTGTCACGCCGCTTTTTGGCGTGACTTGTCTCCGAAAACGCGTGTTCATTCACGCTAAATGAGAGCGCGACTCACATGTCACGCCGTTTTTCGGCGTGAATTTCGTGTCACGCCAATTTTTGTCGTGACTTTTTGTCACGCCATAATTTGGCCATGTGTCCGACCATTACGTTTTCAGTGTTTGCCAGTGTGCGAAGGTGAAGAAAAAGAAGGAGCAAAGATGGCGGCTTATCCAATCGGGTAGACTGAAAATGTGGGATAAAAACACTGGAAGCTTCTGGTGTTTTTGATCCCACTTTTTCTTGCAGGTGTTAGTCCGCTAGACTGGGGCTGTCCGTCTAATACTTCACCCTTTTTTAGATTAATTGAGAAAAAGAGCGTTGACACGATGGGGGATCCCCTCTCCGCATCAAGTGACTTAAGAAGGAGAGGAATCACCCACAAGTTAGCGATGGAGACGTTCCCGCTGAGGCTTTTCCGAATCTTGGGTCTGGCTCCCTACCAGCAAACCGGAAGCGCAGTAACGTCGACTCGTTGGCTGCGTTGGTGAGTAAATCGATCGTGCTCGTTGGAAATTCCAAACTTACGGTCAAAAAGCCGACCATGAAGGATGGGGAATAAAATGCTGCCTAGCAGCATGGCTATCCACACACTGTCCGAAATTTCCGAGGAAAATGTAAAAATTACTTAGTCAAATCGGCATAAGAATCTTTTAATTCTTTCAATCACTGTGAGGTTAGGTATAGCCCTCAAAATTCTAAATGTATTTTCCCAGTGACCTTTCTTTTTACCTTGCGCGCAGGATAGTTCGGAGACCGTAAAAGGTAAAATTTTATGTGACAGCTTAAAATGATCAGTGTTTATATAGATAGAAGACAAGGGAGAGTTTTTACTTCTTTTTTTTAAGTCAATCTTTAGTTACAGTGGATGTCCAAAAGCGGCATAAAAACAATCATGATTCCAGTCTTTAAGATTAAAACCAAAAGAAAACATGTTTTTGAATCTGGCTCCCTTGCTTCCTTCATTTTGACCGTAAAAGGATGTGGCAACTTCGTCAGATTTTTGGGACGATATTTGGGTTTGAAATCCTGCGCGCAAGGATGTTGACCAAATCTAAAAAGTTAGCGAAAATTCAAAAAGTGCCACCAGACCCGCTACCCAAGACGGTGAAGGGGTAAAAGGGCATGGAGAATCCAATGGTGATGTCCACTTCAATGTCAGCGTGATGGAAGAATAGGAGGCTGAAAAAAAATTAAAAATACTTACTTAAAAAAAATTAAAAATACCTACTTCTCCCGCGAGCCCTACAAGTTGTAAGTCAAATAAGCTCGCAGGACACGGGCCCTTCTTTGTCTATTTCACACTAAAGAATGCTTCGGAAAAGCCCTCTTAAACATATCGGAGAAAAGTCATGCAGTTTACCTCCTACCAGGACCCCATGCTCCGAGAAATATTAGTTGAAACCAAACGGAATTTTGTTTTCTTAAGGCAAACAAAAACGATTCGTATCAAGAGGTTCCGGACAGCACCCCATCCTACCATCTTGTTTTGTCTTTTAGGTACAGCGTCTGTGTAACACTCACATCAACCATCGGCTGCATGTGGCTTTTGTTGTATTATGCGTCAACACTCATTATGTATCCCACAAAAGCACGCATGGCACTGGCCGAAGTCATATGCGTGGCCATGGTAATCTCCACGGCCTTTGGAGCGGCCTTGATTCGGCTGTACACTGTTCGACGCCAGTACCCGCTCCTGCACCGCGTCCTCACGGACCCTGCCATCCTGAATGAGATGCCCATGACGTCGTCCAAAGCTCTCATCATTTTCTACCTGGACATGGCCACAACTGTTTCCATTATCATTTTATCACTAAGTGTTCGAGGTCCTTTGAGTCCTTGGGTCACGTCCCTGCACTTCTTCATGGTCGCAGAGGTGAGTAGGGTAAGGTGCCCAGTGATGGCCACTTTGGACTTCGCGCTGACGTCACATCCAGGCGAGAGAAGTTGAACAATCGAGCTTTTGGGGTTTTGTACCCTCATCTATTGGCAACACAACACCACAAAAATTGTCGTGGGTGGCCGCAGGGGCTCAGCGCACCAAATGCTGCGTTTACATGTTTTGTTCATTTTATGTTGGTGAGATCAAATCAGTAGTCGCAGCGTTTGCTTCGCAGATTTGGAATTTTTACTTTATTTCTCACTTAGTACTGTCAAAAAAAGAAGCAAAGAGCTACTCCCCTCTCAAAACCTAAAGAAGCCATCACCGAGCAGGGCACAGCCATCACTATTCAAAGGGTGGCCATCACTGGGCAAACTACACTGATATTTTGGTTACTCTTTTCACAGGGTCTAGGACAATTCGTCCCCGAAAATTGGTCCCCGGACTATTCGTACCCCCTATTTCGTCCCCGGGACAATAGGAACCCCACACTGTTCGTCCCCAAATATGACTGGTCCCTAGACAATTTGCCCCTAAATAATGTTTTTCAGAATTTCATTTTCTTACTTCAAAACTTAAGAAAGAAAAGGTGCAGCCAAAGACTTTTATATATTCTCCGTCACGTTGTGGCCGACGGCGCGCAGGTAGCACAGGATGTCGTCTGCCTCGTGGTAAGTGTCGTAGCGATCTACAACACTAACACTCCTATACACTAGTAGCCAAGGAACGTGACGGCACGTTCGTATTCACGTGATAACGGCGATGTTAGTTTAGGCGTGACAAACGGCGAAAATTTACAGACGAACGAATGTGACATACGGCACCGCTTTGTCACATTACTCCGGGTGTGAAATCAGCTGGAGAACTGTCAAATTAAAACGATTGTGACACCCACGTAGTATTGTGACATTCGTTGTAATCGTAATGTGACATGCTCAATTTTTCATGTTCTTTTGAATGTGACACGCCATGATTGTTGGATTATGGGGTGTCACGTTCGATTGAATGTGACACGACACAAATCAAGAGGTACCATGCGTCACAAGGGGAAATAACTTCAGAAAAAAATGTACACTTGAATTAAAATTCAAAAAAATTCAAAGAAATTCAAAAAAATTCATTAAAATTCAAAAAAATTTATTAAAATTTCACTGAAATATTGCAAAAACTTAACAAAATTTCGTTAAAATTCACCAAAATTCATTAAAGTTCACAAAAATCACTGAATTTCAAAAAATTCAATGAAATTCACGAAATTCATTCATTTGTACACCGAAATTCAGAGTTATTTCCCCTTGATGCGTCACATTCGTGGTAATGTCTTGGTCCGGCATGGGGACCGTCCCGGCTGGGACCATTCTAAAACCGGGGACACGTTTGGGGACCAATTTGAAAGGGGGACCAATTTTACCGGGGGCGAATCGTTTGCGGACCCAAAAGTCCTTGGAACGAATTTTCGGGGACGAATTGTCCGGATCCCCTTTTCACAAAGATGGAATTAAATTTTGCTGCTTTTCAAACTGGAGAACGTTTACTCGATCCTTCTTGCATGCTCCTGAAAATATCCCGAACGGTATGACGATTGAGAGACTGTTTTAGATGTGTGCCACAAACTTTAGAACAGCTTGCTAGACCGAGACTGAATGGGTCCTAGGCAAGAGTTTGTTGAGTTTGTCAATGCGTCATGCACATGCAGGATGTCCAAGGTGAAAAATCGACGCGTCCTTATAGAATAATCCTAACTGCACTCTAAATGTCTTACGAAGAAATTTCCCATAATGGCGCAAGCATAATACGAAGGTGGTTTTTCTTCGTATTACGAAGGTTTTTACTTGTATCTTAAAATGAAGAAGCTAGAAAGATTCGTATTACGAAGGAATATAGCTTCGTATATGCTTGCGCCGAATTCACTGTGACATACGTATAACATGGGTCAAATTTCATTGTAAGACATTTAGAGTGTGCCAGATCCTAGCTGTGAGAGTAGATCCAAGAGAATCCTAACTGTTAGTGTCAATTCAGAACTGTCCTAACTGCGCATCACATGGAATGCGGTCTTTTCTCAAAGCCCGTGACACCAACTTCGTAAAAATACTGGCCGAATTGCTTGTAACAAAATTTCATTTTTACATAAATCCATGGGCGTTGTATTTCAGAGATCTCGAGATTCACTGGTTTGCAGTGCATATAGTTCATGAACACTTTTAGGTACCCCTGCAGTTAGGGACAGTTCTAAATCTGCACTGACAGTGAGGATTGTCTAGGATCTGCTGACAGTGAGAATTATTCTATTTGGGACGGGAAATGTGGCATTGCCTATCCTCAACAGTGCACTTGCATTTATTTTCGGCAGAAGCTTCTGGAAACTGCGGAGCTGTCTCTTTTCATGTTTACTCTGGATACCCTGAGAAGAAATTACAAACATCTCAATGAAGAATTCACATCTCTGAAACAAGCTAAAGAAAAGCGTAAGGACATTACAGATTTTATCGTGCAGCTTTGTTTTTTAATTGATAAATATATTGTTGACAAGCTCTTATGACTTTACCTCGCTGTAAGCAGGTAAAGGACAAAAAAATAAAAGGGAGAAAAAACGGATGCTTCTTGGATAACCAAACTAAGGAATGACTGCATGGTCTTCTTTCAGGTTCAAAAATCACCTCAAAACGACGGAATGCCTGGATGATATTTGCGAATGCTTTGGTCCTCAAGTAACATTCGTTTTGATAAATATGTGCTTGGGTGTCATTTGGATACTCGTAATGTCAAGTAATGGTCAGACGGGCATAGCTGCAAATAACAAAATAAGTCCTCAATTTGTTCTGCCGCTTTTGACGCTCCTTGCAGCTCAGATTCTGACTTACATATTTTGTGTCGTGTGGTCGTTACACACAGCCGATACAGTGACAGCAGAGGTAAGATAATAATTGTAAGTCAAAACTCTAAATATGCATGATCAGCCATCATTGTATTACTAACCCACTCGATCTGTTTGGTCCAGACCAAACGGAAAAGACTGTGCCTTGGTTGTCAACTTTCTTCGATAAGCAAATTGCGATAGCTGCAATCCACTGCTGGTAGCCAGGAACAAACGTTCACAAGTGTCCGGACGTTCAAAAAATTGTTCAAAAAGTGTTACAATTTTTTGTATTAATTTTTTCAAAACTATTGCTGATTAAAAGCCCATTCCAGTCCAGTTCCAGTCATTTCTATAACACTACTAGGGATGAGTCTCCGTAATTCCCCCCCCCCTTCCCTACAGATCTGAGCAAGTATGCGAACAAAATCTTACAAGAAACAATATTTAAAACGCTTCTACTTAATTTCCAACAAATGTCTAAAGTAACTTTACTTTATGTCAAAATGAAGATTACTCAATTATCTGAAAGGGTTTTGGTACAGAAATCATAAAATCTTGATCCTTCTTCACCAAAGAAATGTTTTAACAAAGTGCTTTAACATGCATGAGTCCCCTTAAGTGAGTTGAATCATCCCGAAAAGCTTTTGTCAATTCAATTTACATCAACATTTTTGCAGGGTAATAAAACCTTGACCATAGCAACTTCGCTGGCAAGCATCGGTTATTTGACATTGCAGGAATCAGACCAGGTGAGTACCTGTAGGTTGACAGTATATCCTTCGTAAAAAGTTGGAAAGAAAAGCACATGACGAACATACCGTAAAAGCAGTAGTTTGCTTGCCACAAAATTGGCAAGCCGTTCACAATGTCTAAAATGAGTACAAACAGAGTCCCAGATAGACACAGTCACTTTTGGGCAAGAGCTTCGCTATCGCTCAGCCAAATATTTTGACTTACTTAGTCTTTTGAGGTGGGTAGCATGCCCATGCCCACAATGTATTGGGTGACTGGAGGGGGTCTTGTCGAGAGGTGCCTTTTCTAAAATGGGATCACTCTTTGTCAGTTGGATGTCCTGAGCACCTATCTGACGAGGCGCCCCGCTGCTGTTCGCCTCTGCGACATTATTACGTTGGACTTGGGTTGGCGCTGTCGGTAAGTTCGCTGTTTCCTTATGCGACAAAGTCCCATTGGCCATTACGCGGCTAAGATACAGAAGTGTCAATAAGTCAAGACTGCATTCTCAGTGTTCCAAGTGATGTCAAAGATGTTACAAATCACAATGCAATTTGTCCCCTCTGTTTTATTGATTTATTAAAAATTGTTTCACAAATTGCAGGCAGTCGGCTCAATTGTCAACTTTTTCATTCTACTTCTGCAGTTGCGAGATGTTCAATTCGTAAGCCAGCGTCAAGCATGAAGCCCTGCTGTCAAATCTCTGGTGAGTAAAAATTTCTCAAGTTATCGAGCTTCATCCCGCTCCAACTCTAGACATTGGCTGGCAAGGCTGGTACATATAATACTTTTCATTTTAACTATGTACAATTACAGTTAGTGGATCAAAATGCACAGTTCCTCCTTTCTCATTCTCGTATTGACTTTTTGTACTTGGCTTGTGAAGGATTTTGAGCGACAAAAGCGTATAGAAGACTTTATTACTAAAAACCATTTTGTTCATTTTAGTGAATAACAACTGTCCGTTATCCATTGGCTTGATGGTGCATGCTTAGGCACAGGTAAATTCTCTGAATAAATTGGCCAAAATTGTTTGAACAAAGTAATAAAATCCTCTTCACACTATTGCTGCACAAAATCCTTCATAAGCCCAGTACAAAAAGTCAATGGGACGCGGGTATGAGGAAACCAGGAACCGTTTTTATCGTGTACACATGCAAGAGTGGGAGAAACGTGGTTCACACTTGTAAGCGTGAGGCATTTCTGCTCATGCTAGAGCAAGAATGTCTGACAATTGGATTCGTAGTGGCAGGGGGTTGGATTTCCTGATGCCACCGGCAAGAAGACCTCAAGTTGTGGGGCAGCTGTGGTTGTATGGGTTCCAGGCACACCTTTGTCCGTCGATATTTCACGGACTAGGGTTGGCCACCACGTCACTGTACGAAGTCTGTGCTTCCTGGAGAGGAGTCGGGCCGTCTGTCTTTCTTGTTGGCATCAGCGTGTTGTTGCAGAAGGTGCACAACTTTGGTGTGGCCAAAAGTCGTTGCGGCGTGCAGAGGCGTAACACCCGCTTCATCAGTGGCGTTGACGTCACAGCCATGGTCCAGTAGCAGCTTCACAACTTCAGCATGTCCACCGCACGAAGCTAGATGCAACGCCGTCCAACCGCGTGCATTCTTAACATCAGCATCACACCTTGCGAGCAATAGTTTCACTGCGGGAGCAAAGCCCTCCTGCGCTGCCATGTGAAGAGGCGTCCACCTTTCCATGTCAAAGGATAACTGCCTCAATTGCTCGCCACTGTAAAAGAAGAGGAGTCAAGTTTTACGCAGATATTGACCAACAAGCTATTAAACCTGGAGGACAAAACTTTTGTCGTTACAATGACGGAAATTGCAGAGAGCTCCTTACAAAATTGTCATTTTTCAAGCGTTGTTTAAGAGATGTAATTGTAAAAAATTCAGTCGTCTCAAGGAATGAGCGTGAAGCCTCGGGAAATGTGCCTCTGTCTCGAGGGTCCGGAAATTGTCGACGCGCCCCCGCATACGCGCTAAGCTGTTTTCATCTGCAGCTCGTTTGCAATCGCCTTCAATTTTTCAAAGTTTTACATTAGTTAACTTGTGTCAGCTTCCTCCTGATTCGATTGAGTGTTATTTCCCATTGATCACAAGGAAGCATAGATTGATCTATCTGTAGTACACTCTACCAAAAATGTCCTGTCAATGCCGTTAATTTATTACCAGTTTTCACTGTAGGTCAATGAACTGAACATCGTTAACTGTGATCTGCTCACGCGATTCACTGTGATCTTGTTCACGGTGTTCACTGTGATCTGGTCTACAGTAAACACTGTGAGTTTGACGCCGCTGAGCACCAAAGTGCTGCAAATCAGGCTCCAATTCACGGCGTTTACTGTGGCCAGATCACAGTGAACACTGTAACCGAGATCACAGTGAACGCTGTGAAATAGTTCACAGCAAACGCCGTGAGTTGCATAACAGCAAACATTGGTAATAAATTAACGGCGTTGACAGGACATTTTTTGTAGAGTGTAAGGTCACATGTTGGGGTGATGCCCCTGCAAGGGCCAAAATACAAAATATTATGAGTAATAATGGAAACAACGCCTGTGACACGTGACTCTTCTTATGAGATGCACATGTATTGTTTTTGAGCCAGCGGCGCCACTCCCTTATACGGGAGTCTCCCGAGCGTGCTTCGAACCACGAATGGAAATGAGGGGAAAGCAAGAGCGTGTCGTGTCCGTGCCGTCGATGGCTGTCGTTGGGTCACGTTCTCCACCTCCACCGCAGCAGCCCGCTTGGCTGTGCTTTCGTCTCCTTAAGGCACATGATTCCAACGTCCGCTGCAGTCGGGGACTTCGTTGTGTCCGGTTCTCACTGCGTTCGGAGCACCTCTTTCGGGCAAGTTTGATACACACTAATTGTTATGTACAATTTTGTACGAGTTATCAGTTTTCTACACAAGAGCTTTCCGTACAGTTTTTGTACGAGAAAAACTGCACATATGTCCTCCTTTTTAGTGCAAACTCGTGTGAACAAAAGACTTGCGCAATACTAGGAATCGGTGACCCGACTATTACAGGAGAGATTTCCCCCTCGACTCTAACCATCCAATAACAGGAAAAGTAGCGATGATACACATCAGCAACTTTGGCCTGTCGCGAATTTCGCCTAATTTTTCGGACTAGTTGATGATGGTCATTTTTACTAAGCGTGTTGCCTAAGAGATTAGTTGTTGTTCACGATTGCCTTTGTTGGCAAATATACGAATAAAGCTTGGCTATAAATTCCTCTGTGTGTTGCTTCCCAGTGTCCACAATGCTGCCCTGCAAGTTATGGGCGTTGGTGCCCCTGGCCCTGCTCATCGCGACAGGCGGCCCACACCATGCGAACGGCCAGCTTCCGCTCGGATCAGGCACGTACTTTGCAAGCTGGACGCACCTAGGGATCCTCTCTGTCAGAGCTGCGCACGGTCGACTGCTGGAGTAAACCGGGTGATTTTCGCCCCGTGCGAGGCCAGCACTGCGAGGCTCCCGGCCGGGCGGGCCGCCAAAAAAATTGTAGCAGGGGTATCGCAAAATGAATGACAAAGATCATGCTAAAAACCAACCTTGTTGCGTGGTGCAGTCAACCCGGTGGCGAGTGTCGTGGAGCCGCTCGGGGGCATCTTGGACCCGGTCTTGGGCGTCCTGAGCCCCGTGGTGGGGGCAGTCGCTGAACTGGCGCCCATCCCTGGCGCCCTGCTCGGTGCCGTGGCGCCTGAGACGGCGTTGCTCAACCCGCTGCTTCAGTCCACGCTGCTGCAGAACAACATCACGCAGTTCTCCTCGGACATCGTGACCAGCCTCACGACCGTGGTGGGCCTGGTGGCCAACGCCGTGCTGCCTGTGCCTCCGTACCTCCGGCCGGTAAGCTGGAGTGGATGGTGAGGACAACCAAGCGTACCCAGAGGGGCGGAGGGCAACGCCGATAGGGTCAGGGCGGGAAAAAACTGGACAGGGCAAGAATTTCGACGCCTCCTCATGGAATAATCCGAACTGTCAGTGCTGATCCAAGACAATCCTAACTGTCAGCGAAGATTGTACGACGTAAAAAGCTATTTCTTATAAAAGTCTGTGACGCCAACATGCTGCTACAAATTTCTTGGCAATGGACTTGTCAAAAAGTATAAATCTTGCATTTAAACGTGGAAGCTGCATTTCAGTGATATCATGATTCGCTGCTTTGGACTGAAGAGAGCTAATGAGCAGTTTTTTTTTAGCCTCCTCTGAAACCTCGGAGCAGTTAGGATTGTCTTGGATCAGCACTGACAGGATTTTTTTTAGGAGGCGTCGATTTTACTTCAAATGTCGTATGCACAGTCGTAACAACTGTCATAAAATGAACCGCATGAACACACTTTAGATGCTGTTGTTTCAGTCCTTCTCCAAACATACCATATCTCTTATTGCAGGAACGTGACATTACGTTGAAACGAATGTGACAAAACGTAACGTTCCTGCAATGTGTCACACATATTGTTTGAATGTGAGTTAGCTATAAGTTAGCTTATTCGCGTTCGGACGAATGTGACACAATACTCAAGGAACGTGACATTCTGTCACATTCGTTTCGACGTGATGTAACGTCCCTGGAGTGAGAGTGTATGAACACATTTTGGATGCATTGTTGTTCCAGGACCAGGAAGCGCCGAAATTCGGCTTCGTCGGAGAGGCCTACAACGTGACGGACTTCCGACGGTTACATCCTTGGAGTGTTCCGAGTTCGTAGCGGAACGTGCCGCTCGTATCGTTCTGTGGTTATTATCCCGCCAGGGATCCTCTCAAATGCAGCTACCTTCATCTTTATCAAGGAAAACAGCCTGGGTTAGTCATGTGGCTACTCTGTTAATTGACCAGTTTACAATTCAAGGAGTAGATACTGCAAAAATGCACAGTAAATAGACTTCAAAACGGGCCTGAAAGATTAACAAATTTTTCTATGACGGCACTTAATTAATTTAACACATTTTTCTAATGTCCAGTGGCAAACACTTTTCCTACCAAAAAAAATAAAATAAAAATAAAAACCCTTTCAAATTTCGAGTTCAACTTCTATCTAAGTTAAGTGGAAATCCATGCAAGCGGTCTTGCCCCTCCTCAGCGGAACGAGGCAACCCACGCTTTTAACAAACTAAAAAAGGCTATCTGATCATTTTAATGAGGTTAGTGCATGTTCTGAAGCACATCTGGTGCGCTCCAAAATGTACATTTTGATCAATTAAAGCAGTGCGCATAGAACATTATAATGAGGCTTTAGGGCAGTCAAAGAGGCGATACATTGGCATTTGTCTCACTTGCGGCTTTGCATTTGGATTTCCGTTTTCAGTGTACCGCCTTGCACGAGAATGCAACGACGTTTGGCTGTTCACTTTCCGAGGGTACCTATTTGGACGTGGACACACACTTCTCAGCGACACGAGCTCTGAATTCTGGGACTTTTAGTAAGTGCAAGTGCCTACAATGCTCCGCGAGAAAGTGACCACGTAACAGACTACAACGAACGTGGCTCGATTTCAGGTAGTGCCTCCTGAAAGTGTTTACCCTTACCTACGATTTTTCTAGTCTATTTTTCCTTAAGTGTGTTTCCCAATTGACTCGGTTTTAAACTCGGTGGGAGGCAAAACGTGGCTGGCAGCTGTTCACCTCAATGTGCTTTATCCTCTGCAGTGCCTACCACTGGGGCGTCTACGACCTGCCGGCCCAGATAGAGTTCGTCTACCGGAAGACTAACAGCACGAGAATGCGCTACTTCGGCGTGGACCAGTCCGGCTCCGCCCTGCTCTTCATGAACCACGTGCACGGCCAGCGATACCAGAGGTTCCTGGCAGGCACCTACCTGCTCGCTCCCATCGGCTATTTCGCTCGTGTCAAATCCGTGGTATTCGACACAATGGCCGTTCTGCGCGACGCCCTCACGGTAAAAATTTGACGCCCCTTTTTATGGCAAGTGGTCTGTAGGGATCCAAGTGTGTTTAGGGTGTGAAGTTACGCATGTGAGGAGGTAGGTTCCACCTAGAGCCCTAGAGTGGAGAGAGACGCCACCGCCAGTGCGTGAGCGCGCGCGCGCGGCCAGTGCTGCGCGTGGTTTGCCATACTTTGCTCTGCTTTGCTGCGAGCCAGTGTCTCCCCGGCTCGGCTCGGCCCGCGCGGCTAAGGGCTCGGCTTGGCTCCACTCGTACCGACGTTGCCAGATTGCCGGTCGGGAGGCTTATTTACATACCGTGGGCGATTCAGCGCGGTATGAGAATTATGGCGGTCGGAGCATCCCCGCTTTACGGGACATGTGGTTTGGCCACTATTCTAGTGGACTCCCATGTACCACACACCCAATGTGTCCTTAAATTTCAATTTGAAGTCATTTCCGAAAAAAGTATCAAAACGACTTAAAATTGTAAGGATTAGAAAAAAAAAATTATGTTAAAATGTCAAGATAATTAATATTTTCTTATTAACTGACTAAAAGGGATAGTGCAACAAGCTGCAATCCAATTAGTATGTCCTTCTAGACTAATTTTTTTTTTGGGGGGAGGTGAGGGTGGAAACTCAAGTTTGGTATTAAAAGGAGTGATGAGAGAAACGACTAAATTTGTTACGTTAAACTTAACAGATCAGAAACTTCGAGGAATATAGTGGTTCTGTATAAAAATTTGAGTTTCATCTTCTCTGATTTAGAGGGAGTTGCGGATTTCCTAAGAAAAAGTTTTCAAAAGTTAGCAACAAGTTAATGTTAATTAACTGTTCAAAAGTTAGCAAAAAGTTTACGTTAACTAACTTGTCGTAAAGGTTGGAAAAAAGTTCACAATTTTTTTTAAACCATGCATGATAATATTTAATAGGCAGAAATGTTTTTCAACTTCTTTGTAGGTGCACGATAAGTGTACACCACACTTCTATGATATTGCTGAAAGTGATCAACACCTAAAAATTTTATAAGTTAAAACTTTTTATTTTTCTTGATCTCAACGACCATTAACAATATCAAAATAGTCCTGCTTACACTTGGAGTTCTCCGAAAGACAAGTTCAAAAACATTTTATGTTCAATCATGTTCAATCATGTTCAATCAATGTTCAATTATGTTCACCTAATGGTTACTTTAAAAATGAGGCTCGCAAGATTTTTTGACAAGTCAGTTTACGGAAACTTGTCGCTTTCATTTGATCTCTCTCATAGAGGATATCCTCACTTCCAAGAAAGTGGAGCTGCAATTTTGGAGCAGTACATCTATATTATTCATAGTTAACGGACCATTAAAGGGATAAAAGGTCATATTTTGACCACCAACAGGCTTAACACCCCTTAAAATGAACATGTAAAGATGTGTCGATTTTTCATTGATCTAAAATATCTTTCTTTTTAAAAAAGGTTTTTTATTTGTTGCATCCTACATTATGCCAATCTGATGGCTACATCAAGTATCTTCACAGCAATATCATTTGAACAGAAAATTGTGTTTGTATGATCAAGATCATTTTAGAGTATTTTTAAGTTATTTCTGGAAACGTATTTCATTTGCGTTTTGACGACTCAGCAGCATTCTTGACACACGCTAGTGTCTACTGCACGGAAGAAGTGGCTATCACCTGTCCTACCTTCCGTGTACAAGTCCCCTGGAGCGGGAATGCTCCGATCGCCATAATTCTCATACCGCGCTGAATCGCCCACGGTATGTAAATAAGCGGTCGGGAGGGATGCGCAGGACTCTGCAGGCAGCGGGTGGGTCCGAGGGCTAAGTTCTTTTATTGCTTCCAAACCGTTCAAGTTAGGTGGGTACAGTAAGCGAGCCGATTGTAGTTCACAGTTCAGGCTACAATCGGCTCGCTCACTATGCACCTCTAACTTTAACGGTTTAGAAGTTTTGCCAGTAATAAGGTCTTTTGTAGCAGTAGCTAAACCGTCCTATGTTGCCACATTACACCGTTTTTCACCCAACTATGGAAAATTGTGCATCCAGATGTCTGGATCGGGGTGGCGTCTCTCTCCACTCTAGGGCTCTAGTTCCACCTAGTTCTACCCGGGTAGAACTAGGTGCAACCTGACGCACCGGGTAAAAGTGTCCTGACCAGTTGTAACCGACTTGCATTTGGGTAGAGGTAAATGTACCCGACGAGGAACGGGTAGAAGTTTCAGGGTAAATAGTCATTCGGGTGGAAGTAGGTGAAAAGGGAAGATTGAGTTTATGCTTAGTTCATTTGAGTTGTTTTTTGTAGATGATGTTAAATCAGCTAGCTTTGACTCTCGATCGCAGCCAACAGTTTTGCAAACTCTGTGAAAAGTTTCGTTAGCAGTTAATGACAATGTCAGAGCTAATATTTTTCAAAGGATGTCATCAAAACATTCAATGCCATAGTTGTCACGCCCATACGATAAGTACAGGAGCCTGTCATCATATTTGCAAGTGACGGTAACGTCCTCTACGATTTTGTAATGAGGTGACAACAAACTTATATAGTGGTTCGGGCAGCGAATGAGTTGTCTTGCTCCCCGAAATGCCTGTCTTGGATTTTTTTTATCAGGCTGCCGGAGCACTGGTGCTGCACAACGAACTCGCCTTTATGAATCCAGCCATACACTCAGTGGTGTACAACTTGTGTGGCCGGATCAGCCCCGTCACGTGCTACTACCTTTTACAAATCCTCGGGGGTAACAGCAAAGAGATCAATATCGTGAGTTGACCAAAACTTGTGGCTTGTGTACATTTGATCCAGGACTCGGAAGAAGGCGATAACTCAATTTTGGCCATTTTCCAGGAGAAACCAAAAGTTGTTAGAAGGGAAAACTAAAACAAAACAAATGAATGTTGCAAATGTTAATAATTTCAAAAAGCATTAGTAAAATTTTGGAAAAAAGAAAAAAAAGAAAAGTGTAAGGTCACTCCGTAGAGGATTTCTGCGACTTATCACTTTCCGCTGAAATGGGAAACAGAGTCAGCTCACCTTATATTTCCTAAACAAAGAGGAATTTGGAGACAAGTCAAGTGCAACAATAGTGTCCATAAAGTGTATATTACTCTGGTGTATTTTTTGGACTTAGCTCTTTTTTCAAAATTGAAATTTAAAATTAAGGGAGGGGGGTTAAGTTGAGTTGATTCTTTTTACACTAGATTCATAAAAATACAAGTTGAGTCATGTCCTTTTGCCAATTTGTCAAACGGACTTATGTGGACTTCGGTTGAGTTATCTCCATTTTCCAATGAAATTTAGACCGTAAAAGGGTTAAAGTTGAATTATACCCTTTTTCTATGTGGGTTTTCTCCTGAACTGCTTGGAATTCAGTCAAATAATTTGGTGTAATGATGAAAAGCATTCTAAGGCACAATAATTAAATAAAAACTCAATTTGGGGATAAGTCAAGTTATTCCCTTCTTCCGCTTCCTGGATCATTTATCATATTTTGATTATATACAGCGGACTAACATGAGTTCACACCTAAAAGCATGCGTTTTCAGTTGTGTGCTCTGCACCCGCAAAAGCCATTTCTTCAGCCAACATAATTTACGCCCATCGAGGGAATTTATTTATCCTAACGGGCAAGTCGATTGGATTGGTTCATGAAAGGGCTTTTTGACTGTGTGCCTTGCTGTGGGCTCTGAGTGCACATTTCTGCTTTCAGTGTACTGGTGCTGCTGTATTGTAAACAAAAAATTAGTGCCCTTGTACAGTGAAAGGAATTTCATTTTCAGCAATACTTTTCTTATGCTTTCGCGAACGTACTGGACAGTATATCGATTAAGGCCTTTACTTATTTTCTCCAACAAAATGGTAAATGTAAGTATTTAAGTTTCCTAGTGCGTACTTTACATCTAGTTGCAGGCCAATATATTCTCGCACTTGCGGCTCATTATGTTCTTGTTCGGCGCAGTAAAGTACATGGCGTACTACGACTACGGCCGGGCTGAAAACTTGAGGCGATACAACAGAACCACTCCTGAAAACGTCAACTTAGCGGCCACCACAGTGCCGTGCAACTTCTACGCCCTTGGCAGCGATATTGTGACCGTCACAGAGGTGAGATTGAAACGTTAAACAGGGTCACAAGAATCATTGCTCCACTGGGTTTTTGGTTTTTAACGCTCCTTCAGCCAGCCAAAACACTGAGAACGGACGCTCAGCATATGTACCTGATATATTCACACCAATAGGCATGGGACTTTCTTTGGCAGACGACACCTTTACACATTTAATTCAAAATAATGCAGGAATACAGGACACTGTAAGGTGTCAGCTAGCTTGTACTCAGGACGGGGCGGGACGATGCGCGAGGCTAAGGAACTACCTGGAAATCGCCTATGCGTCCCGGGTGGAAGGATCTATAGTGAAACTGCAGTTTAAACTGTAGTGCCAAAACTACAGTTCCTAAACTGCAGTTTTTAGTAAGAACAAAGTGCAGAATAAGTCCAGTTTCAGTTGCTCATGGATCTGTAGTTTGCTGTGTATGTAAACTGCTTTCTAGCTGAAAATGCTATTTGTTGACCAGGTATTAAGTACTATCTGTAGTTAAAAAGTGAAGTTACAAGTTTCTTAATACTAATCTACTTAAATAGTCCACTACTGAAGATCCGCCTTCACTTATATCTGCAGCAGGATCTACAAAGGAAATAAAGTTTCTGCTCATACTTTTTTACACAATGACAAACTAGTTGAATGTTAACTACAATTTGCAGTAATTTTTCGCTTAAGGCATAGTTTAAGATGTCAAGCACTGCAACTTGATATGAAGAAACAAAAACAATTACATTAAGTGATTAAAATAATATAAGGATTGAAAAGGAAATATCTCTTAGAAGTTTCAGTTATTTCTTTTAAAGGTTTACGTTGAAATACTTGACGTTGGAGACTTTTAGAAGACACGACTAAATTTCCATATAAAAACCTATATGGCTGGATGTAACCAATTCTTAAAATACTATCTGGTTCTGTTTGCTTATTTTATAATGTTCCATATTAGTCAGGTAGCATGTGACAAAGTATCGTGGAAATCAACAGCCACAAAATTTAGCCAGCTTGTCGCCAAACAAGGTCTAGCTAAGTGGCATCAAATTCATTATGACTGGATGATAAAATGTCAAACACAAATAAAACTAGAAAGCATTATAATGCAGTGCGTCTCAGAAGTTGAAAAGGTAACGACTCCAGTCGTTGAAAATTAAGACCTTGAAGGCTCTCTGAATTAAATCTAGAGACCACTAAATTATGCGCGTGCATAATCGCATATTTTGTTAAAGTATGAAAAAAAGACAAAAGAAAGACAGTTTAACATGTTTTAGGTAGGTCTACACCGGAAACAAGACCGCATAATGACGCATAATTTAAGCACAAACGCAACATAACGCATACTTGCATATTATGCGCATAAAGTCACTTTTTTCCCGCATAAACTACCTATAAGGCCTCCAAAATCCCGTAAAATACGCCGATTTACAGCTTTTGACGCGCCACCGATTTAAAAATACGCGCCCTTTGATTCCTGCGCCTTCTCTACTCGTCACGTCGCGCAGTCCACCGCCCCGCCCCGCCCCGCCTCCCCCCCTCCACCCGTCTCGCGTTCTCGCCCGTTCCAGCATGTTCGACGAGGTTATGGACTTCGAGTAGTGAGTGAGTTTGCGGACAGACGCAAGTGTTGTTGATATTGTGGTGGTTTTTTGGGGGGCACGGCTTTGCCGGCCGCATCAACATTACAATGGCCCCTGCAACAGCGGCAGCTAGGGCGCTTGCATATCATGATGATGGTATGTACGTGTTTGACAAGAAATTTTTGATGTGCAAATTTTGCGACAAGAGAGTTGACCATGAGCGCAAGAGCACCATTGACAATCACATCAAGGCGGATTTGCACAAAAACAACAGGAAAAAAGTTGAGGCTGAGGCGGCTGCGAAGAAAAAAAGGCAGGCATCTATTTCGGAAAGTATGAGTAATGCCAAGAAGGTAAAGGAAGATAGAGAAGAGTTCATTAAGTCGACAGTGCGAGCGTTTGTTAACGCTAACATACCACTAGAAAAGCTTGACAAGCCTGAAATGAGGAAGTGGTTCAAGAAATACGTTCCTGGTGAGTAAAATATTTCTAAAACGAGGAGCTTACACTCGTCGTTATGTGTATTGGTACCGGTTGAACTGGACCTAACCTCCAAACTACTGCAAGTAAACAACCCTGTATATTTATTTTTTACCCTCTCTTTTCAGGTTCCGGTGATTTGCCGAGTGCTCAGCAGCTTCGAGACAAATATGTTCCCCTTTTGAAAGAAGAATACGACGATTATCTCAAAGATAAAGTGAAGGGAAAGAAAATTGTTGTGCTGTGTGACGAAACAACGAATAGGAGAGGCCAGGCGGTTTTCCTAACCCTCTTCAAGGTGCTACCCCCTAAAGAGAATCCTACATCCCAACTGTTTGTGGCTTCAGTGAAAATTCTTGAGAATGCCAATGCAGACGAATGTTCAAAGGCAATACTGCAGGTTTGTGTATAGTATTAGAATTTATTTTATTGTGTACTTAGATTGAGAGTTAAGTTTTTAACTTTTCTCTCTCTCTTTTCAGACTGTTCAACACTATGAAGTTGCCCATCTGAACATAGTGGCCATCGGTTCGGACAGTGCTGCCTACATGAACTTGTGTATTCGTCTTCTCAGGACACTCCTTGATAATCCTGGTTTGATACACCTGCAGTGTTGGGCCCACAAGTTGGATAAGGTTGTGAAAATTTTCCCTGAGAAACTGTATAGACTTAATGAATGTGTGTCCAATACTAAGAAACTTTTCAAAAACACCCGAAAAAGGAAACACAGATATGTTACTTTTTTTAAAAAAAAAGTATTCTTTTTCTAGAGCTAAAGAAGTGAAACAATTTCCATTACCTGTCATGACCAGATGGGGAACATGGAAAAAATCTGTTGTGTATTTGTCTGAATATGTTGATGATGTAGCTGAATATGTGAAAAAGCAGTTGACTGGGAAGAAGAATGAAACAAAAGCTGTAAAATATTTTTTGAAATTGAAACCTGAGGACCTGTTGATAATTAAGGCAGAGGCAAAATTTGTTGTAGATTATTGTGGCCCTGTTTGTGATTTGCAGCTGCTAGTAGAGGGTTCTAAATATCCAATGTCTCACTTATTGTATGCTAAGGTAAAAGAGCTGAGTGTGACTATGTCAAGTGTGGCAAAAGCCGGGGATAGTTCTAAAGACATCAAGTCTGTTTTACTTGAGAAGACAAAAGCATGTGTTGATTTAGTTCCTTCCTCTAAACAAAAAACATTGCTTGAAAGAATTAAGCAGGTGTGTGTCTCTTGTGATGACCTGTTGCAATCTCAGATGAAAGATGACACTGCTAGAGAATTTTTTGAGTCATCTAGGCTGCTCTTTAATCCCATTAAGTTAGCTGCTTCTCTTTCTCATGAAAAGATTTCACAGGCAAAAGAGAAAATTAAAATTTTGGATTCCATTCCAACAAACTGTTTTGTAATTTGGCATTCATTACTTTCTGACCATGTAAAGGAAAATAATGCTAATGCTGATCCTATGAAAAAAGTGCCTCATAGGGAGGACCTTGTTGTAAATGCTTTGAATTCTATGATGAAAGACCACAGTGACTTTGCTATTTCTTGTTTGCAAGTACTACATGTGAGTGTGGCAAATGTTGACAGTGAAAGGGGTTTCAGTGCATATGGTGACATATTTTCTCCCAAAAGAACAAATTTGGCTAATGAGAAGGCAGAAGCTATGATGTGCATTTATTTCTGTAATGGAGTTGACTTGAATAATAATGATAAGTGTTCTGAGCAAGTTGATGATGGCGATGATTATGATCAAAATGCACAAAATATAGTGGACGGTGCAGGTGTGGCTGGTGGCGGTGGTGCAGGCACCCACTCTGTGTATTATAATGATGCTGAGGACATGGCATGGAATAATGATTAAAAAATGAATGATAATGATAAATTCATTCTATTGTATCTCTGTATCTGATCTGAATGAAACTAGTCATTTCATTACTTGACTGAATTTTAAAGTGTGTTAACTTGAATAATTTTAATGTGATAATAACATTAAATACTTTTTTATGAGCTAATTCTACTATTTGTCATTCCGCTCCTATTTTCCTCCTTCGCATATTTTTGCATAAAACCACAATTTTACCCGCATAAACCCCGCATAAAACTACATTTTTAGGCGCATAAAGTCCGCATAAATGGGTCAAAATGTGGCGCATAAAATGATGATTCTATATGCATAATTTAGTGGTCTCTAATTAAATCACTCCATGGTGTCTTGGTTTCTGAGGCAAATTCATTATAAATTACATTTTGGACAAGTGGATTTCACTCAAAGTACAGAGTGGCTTACAGTAAAACTGTAGTTTTCTAGCAGTTGGACTCTAGTTCCTGAGGAAAGCCGGCCTTTCCATGTGGTCGAGTAGCCAAGCCCCTATCCACAAGGAAGCTCAGTGGAGCAGTGGTCAAGGCCTCTGCTTCACAAGCCATGGGTCCGAGGTTCAACTCCCGGCAACATCCGATCACCAAACACAATTAACACAAAGTTAATCACCCAAGGGGTCAGAGGGAGGAAGAGTCCCCTCAAATCAGGGTTCAAAAATTAAAAATTTTGAATTTTGAACCAAAATTTCAAACTGCAGATTGTCTTCTCCTTTGAACTAACTCTGGCTGTGTAACTAAACTACAGTATAACTGTACTTTGAACTATAGTAAACTGATCTGAAGACTAGGGCAACCTAGGCCAAAAACTATAGTTGTCCGAAATAACTGGTACTTTTTTTGCAGTTTAATTATAGTTTACTACACTTCAACTGTAGTTGAACTACACTTTACCTGCAATTATACAATACATTACAGTAATTTAAAGTATGAAAAAAAGTATTTAAAAATTAAGTTTAACATTTCAAAAAATCTATACTTTTCCAATGAAGTTTAAACTGCAGATCCTTCCACCCGGGTAACCATGGGCTTCCTGGGCAAACCAGGAACCGCACTCTTAAAACCTTACGAAGTATTTTGAGCATACATATAACAAACTACACTCCCAAGATCCTACTGAGCTTTTTCTTCGTAATACGAACAAAAAGCTTAGTATTATGACAGCACAGCGAAGGTAGTAACGTATGGTGAGGGGTTCTCAGTAACTTATGACCAGTTTCTTAGTATTACAAACAAATTTCTTTGTATTATGATAGATTTGAGTTGTAGAGTACTGAGAATTAGCTTAGTATTATGACAGCACGGCATTTCTCAGTAGGAAATTGGGAGTGTAAAATACTTTGTTACGAAGAAATAGTTCGTAAATTACGAAGTATTTTCTTTGTAAGCTTACGTATGCTCAAAATACTTTGTTACACAAACTACTTTTCTTTGTAAGGCCCAAAGTAGTTTGTAAGGTTTTCTGAGTGCGTTCCTACTGCATACAATGCTCGCTTTTCGATTTGTAGAGTGGGCAAGGAAAGAAGAGACACCCCCCCCCCCCTTTCCCCCCCGGGAGGTGTCGGTATTTCTTCTCACAAGATTCTGACCAATCTCGCAGTGCTACAGCAAAAACGTGTTACGCTAAATCAATCCGGACTCACCTGGAAAAAATTTTCCAGGACGTCTACGACACGTTTCGCGCCCTGGCCCCGGCAGCTCGGGCGTCCTTCCAGGTGCTCCCAAACTACAACGGCGCCAGCCCCTTCGCGCCCGTGAACTCGGAGGGCATTTACGGACCATTGATCCGCAAGATGAACGCCGACGTGGCGGCGGGTGCGTAGTGCGGACGCCTCGGCCTCAAAGACGCCTTCAGTTTGGGCCGAGGAATGTGCAGCTGGTCAAACTGTGGCGAACTGTGCAGCTGCTGAGCGCTTCTGCTCTACTGTAGACACTGATCATTGTTGAAATAAAAATCTGATGAAGCTGGGAGTAACATCGGGAACTTTGACCTATGTCGTATTTTTCGGCATTCGGCCAAGGTCTCAAGTTTGATACATCGCATTTGTGTCGTACACGTTGATTCCAACATACAAATTTACGCTCGATTACCGCCACGTCTTGCTCTCCGAACTCCGGCCACAGTGTACTGCCATTCGGGTTCCGCAGAAACAATACGCCACTCCTTAAGCGTAATAGTAGTAGGAAACAAGACGCCCAACGGGCTTCCACTCCACACAAACGCACCCCCTACGCTACAAATCAAAGAGTGTACATGATACGCTCTGACTGGAGCATGCCTGCAAGCACGCTCTTACTAGCGCATGCCTGCCAGGCATGCACTAACTAGTGCATACATGCCATGTACACGCTAACTGAAGCATACATTTACTGCATAAGGGATGGGGAGTTTTATGCATCAGGAAGCGTGTACATGGCATGTATGCTCTAGTTAGTGCATGCTTGGCAGGCATGCGCTAGCTACAGCTTGCTTGCAGGCATGCTCCAGTTAGAGCATACTATGTACACTCTTTGATTTGTAGATTATAATCGATGGTAATGGATTTGGCTGTCAACGCACTCAAGATGATTGATCCCCTGAATCGCCCTGCTAAAAAAAACAAAAATGACCAACTCTTACCATTTTAAGCAAAGGAAAAAAAAAAACAACAAAAAAACATTGAGCTAGAGTCAGAATTGTGCCACATAGGGCAAAGAAACGGAGCTAGAGACGCAATTTCGACAAAATCGTCGAAGCAAGTCCAGAGAAATCTAAAAATCGCCAACGTGGCCTCAAAACAGGACCCATTGACCTTAAAACTTGTCAATCGTTCCCTCTCCACCACTGAAAAAAAAAATCGTCACAGTGGTCAACTTCAGTCCCTGGCCGAACCAGACTACTGTCACACATACTTTAAACCGAGGGGGAAACCACTGCCCACATGCGCTGTACAACTGGAGCTCCCGAAAATCTCTCACACATTCTCAAAACACATTCCTCATCACATTCAAATACTATCGCTGACATTGTCTCACATTCGGTCGCATTTACACACATTCTCTCAACATTCACTAACGTTCTCTTAACATTCCCGTACAATCGCTAAGCAGCAAACTTAGACTTGCTGAAAAGAAGACGAACGTTTTTTTTATCAAGAAAAGAAAACTTTTGATCTTTCTTAAGCTCAAAATAAGAGAAACGGTAAACACGGGCCAGAAAGCTTAAAACAATAAAATGGCCCACCTTTCTCACGCGCTCAGCTGTTTGCCATCTGCAATCCAAATCTAAAGGCGGTAATATTTCCACCCTTTACTGGCGGTAATTTTGTATTGGCGGTGTCCACGTTATACCGCAAATATGAAGGCGGTGCAGAAATAACCGCCGTAACAGAACCGTTTGTACCTCCTTTCGAGAGCTTTATAGCCTTTTTCTTGGCACTCTGAGGGAACGTTACGGGCGGTAGTATTTTGTACTTCCTTTTACGCACCATCTCAACGGTGCGCAATGGGCGGTAATACACTGTACCGCCGTTTTCCTTCGGTTTGTAGGGTGCGTAATAGGGTACTTTCGTAGATCCCTGAACCGGAAGCACACAGACGCCATGTTGGCGGAAGTAGATCCAAACTTGACATGGGAAAGAGACGTTCGTCAAATGTATCGGCCACACATGAACATAAACAGTCGTTTGATACTTGTTTGCAGTGCATATGTGTTTCGCGAGCAATATTTGTACAGCTCGGATATAGTTCTGGATCCGAAGAGAGGTTAGTCTCCGGCCAATTTGGCGTCTGCTGGTCTGCTTGCTTCCGGTTCAGGATTCTACGAAAGCACCCTATTGGTGGGCTCCAGATTTTACCGCCAATATGAAAGCGGTACACGTTTTACCTCCTTCGCCACACCGTGTGTACCATGCAGACGCATCTGCCCGTTCTTGCCCGCACTTGCCCGCACATGCCCCCATGCGGGTTCGAGCCTCGACCCGGGGGTTCAGGGGATTTTTTCCAGATTTATCAGGCCGCCCCGCCGCCTCCAGGGACTCGGCCTGCAACGGTACCCCGACACATCGTGATAGAAGGGATGTCAAATAAAGGTTGAGAGGGTCAGTGGTACGTCATAAGACACATTAATATCTTTTAATTTACATATTCATTTTACATAGATAAATGAATTTATATATACATAAACTGATTGGACACAAAAATGTACAGAAAAATTGGATTTGAGCTCGTTTTTAAAAGGTCAGTGGTACGTCATAAGACACATTATCTTTTAATTTAAATATTCATTTTACATAGATTAATGAATTCATATATACATAAACTGTTTGGAGACACAAATGTACAGAAAGATTGGAGTTCTTAAAATGTACAGAAAGTTTGTAGTTCTTAAAAGTTACTGGCAACTAAGTCATTGGAAAGTTTTTAAAAGCCGCTCATGTTCAGAAATATTCTGAGTCCAATACTTGGAGGTGCAGACAAAGTACTTTGTTCATTCCTGGTGAGAAACCTAGCCTTTGCTTGAATCAATTTGCATATGTTCATCACGTTGGGGTGGCTTCCTCTGTGAGTTCTAGAATGCTTCACAATCCCCTGTTCTTGGGTCACTTGTTGCTCACACACAACGCATCGTTTCAGTGTTCGCTGAACGCTCTGTTGAGTCCATGTTGTAGGTTTGTGGCCACCCTGAAATAAAGTGTTCTGGAAGAAACCAAACCAACAGAGATACTTCAATATTGTTTACAGGTATTTTTAAAACCGTCATATGTTATCTAATAAATTCCGCATGCTGTAAACTTACCATAAAAGTTTCTAATCTTGAAATAGGTAATTTCAGAGGAGTGTATTCTACTCTGACTTTATCTTTATACTTGCGTCCCATAACGCCAACGTCCACTAAAATTATATCATAAGGCTTGAGCAGGTTTAAGACAAAATGTCTTTCTTCCTCGTTCATAAAGTACAGGAGACAAAATAAGTCACAAGCCCTCATTACGTAGCATCCCCTGCATGTTGCCTGTCCTACCCACGACCGCAGGCGGTCTTTTGTCGAGGTAGGAACATGACACTTGGGATCAATGGATGGAAGACCCGCGTGTTTCCTTGATGCTGTCATGGGCCTCAGGCAAGTCCAGCACTGTGCCCGGAATTTGCCCTGAACATCCTCTTCTGGCCTAAAATTTCGTTCCTTGGATTCTTCGTAAATACTTATGAGGACCTCAGACACTTCAGGCGCTGTTGGAGTTAATAGTATGGAGTTAAAAATAAGTTAAAATCAGCAGTTAAGTCAGCACTTGTATTGAACAGCATCGCACTTACGCGTGGGGAGTTCCTCATATGGCAGACTCAAGTGTTTTTTGAAGGCTTGTGGCATATTCGTTCCACCTCCGTGGAAAATGTCAGGTTCCTCTGCACTCTACAAAAAATGTCCTGTCAACGCCGTTAATTTATTACCAATGTTTGCTGTTATTCAATTCACGGCGTTTGCTGTGAACTAGTTCACGGCGTTCACTGTGATCTCGGTTACAGTGTTCACTGTGATCTGGCCACAGTAAACGCCGTGAATTGGAGCCTGATTTGCAGTACTTCGGTGCTCAGCGGCGTCAAACTCACAGTGTTTACTGGGGACCAGATCACAGTGAACACCGCGACCAAGATCACAGTGAATCCCGTGAGCAGATCACAGTAAACGCTGTGAATTGGCCTACAGTGAAAACTGGTAATAAATTAACGGCATTTACAGGACATTTTTGGTAGAGTGTGGCCTTTCTTGCTCTTCATCACTACTCTCAGACTCATTATTACTGTCAGATGTATGCTCTTCTTCCCCACTCTCAGACTCTTCATTATTATTTTCAGATGTTTCCTCTTTATTGCTATTGTCTGGTTCATGATAATGCCCAGACATTGAACTTGGCAAAAAGTTGAAAGTCCCAAAAATGTTGTCTCTTTTCTGCCATTTTACAAGTGTTTTTTTGGCTAATATGACCGAATGGAGTGAGATAGAAAGCTGAATTTTGATGTGTGGCGAGCCAAGAACGTACCTTATGACCCTGCAAAATCTCAGATGAATCGGCCAAGCCGTTCAGGAGGGGTAGTGAGGACACACGGAGAGAAAACTTTCCAACCCCACTGGGGTAACAGGCTTCGCTATCGCTCAGCCAAACCAGTTGAGAATACTTGCAACTTCGCAAACTTAGGCTTCTCGTGCGAAGGTGAACCAGAGAAAGAAGCAGAACCGCCTGCAATTAAAGACAAAATTAAGAAAGATCAACTTAAATACCAGATTTGCTGGGTAAATTATGAATTATCCGGTTGGATGGAATGTTTTGCATCTAATTCAGAATAAAAGAAAACCAAATTATCAGTCAACACAAAATTTAAATCATGGAACAAGGAACACGTTAAACTCACTAACGGCCAAACACATCAATCCCTTCGGCTACCAATAGACTATTCTAGTCGTGGCTGAGTGAAGAACAAGAAGAATCACAAAAGACGCCATTTAGGGCATTTAAAGTGAATATATTTGATGAAATATGTTGCATTTACTATAAAATATTTGAATGAACTTCTACCAAGCAAGGGGACTTAAACATTTGAAGTAAAAGTGCGAAAAAGTACACTTTTGTGATTCTTCTTGTTCTTCACTCAGCCACGACTAGAATAGTCTATTCCGATTCAGACAATACAAGGAAGGTGTACGCCAGACCGTGTCTTGTCGTAACAGGCTTTGCGATGCTGCGTCAGTTCCGACAATCCACGCCTGGCGTTAACACCTACCTTGGTCTGCGGCGCTGGTCTGCCTTCGGCAGACTCTCTCGCCACATATCGCCCCTCGAAGAGA